AGATCGGTAAAACCCTCCACTCTGTAGATGGAGGCAAAGGTGGAGAGCTGCAGCCTCGTTCCAGTGTGACGTCACAGCTGGACAGCAAGGCCAGATGGAGTCAGGGCGACGAGCCGGGGTGGAGCCAACCTTGCCGCCAGATCATCCGATCAGGGAGGAGGGAGGCGGGGGACGGAAAGTCCCTTGTGTTAACATCTTCCTGGATTATGCCGGGCAGCTCAGAGAGGAGGGTGCCGACGGCTGGGAGCGGTGTGGTCGCAGAAGTGGGAAGATCCGAGGTGGCTGAGCATCCGCTCGGTCACTCGTCTTCCGTCACTACGCACTCCAGGAGGGAGGGGGCAGCTCCACATTGCCTTTCTCGGAGGAATCATTCGATTCACTGCGTGACTCTGCGTCAAAGAAGGCGGTGGCGTTGTCCCGTGCATAGCGTCCCGCCACAGTAAAAAACACAGAGCAGAGCTGCTGCCAACAATGCCTTTTTCGAGGAAATTATTAGATTACCGCGAGGAAAAAACACGTTAGAAAAGGCGGTGGCGTCGTCCAGCGAGTAGCGGCCCTCCACAGAAAAACATTCAACGGGGCTGCTGCTAACATCGCCTTTTTTGAGGAAATCATTCGATTACCCAAGGAAAAAACACGTTAGAATAGGCGGTGGCATCGTTCAGCGGGTAGCGGCCCGCCACGGAAAAGCACTCCTCGGCACCTACCTTGAACAAGGCTGCTTGTCTGCTTCTCCTCGGGGAGGAAGAGCTCACCAGGACGGCAGGGGGTTGGCGTGGCGGAGACCCAGGCATCCTTAGCAAAGGTTGTGCCAGTCAAACTTGGACAACTTTTCCTTCTTTGTTCTTCTGACAGTGCTAGCTAGCTGGCTGAAGAAAAAAATGGGAGCCGATTACCCGGTTTTACCGTAATTTATACGGACCAGGGGTGAGGACCACACACAGCACGTGGGTGTGGACTAAAGTTTTCAGTGCTGCGCTGAGTGCCTAGGGATAAACCCACTAGCGACAGTCTTAAAGGGCGAAGCCTATACGAAAAAGAACAGGAAAAGCTAGGGCACAGAATCTTGATCAGGATGAGGGGGTCAGTCAGTAGATTTTAGATTCAAAAGTCCCGGGAGGTCAGGGCGCTGGTATATCACCCGGTTGCAGTGACTTTGTCACATGCCAACACACAAGTTTAATAATTTATTACATCATGTCATCAACTTCATGGAGGGACGGGCGGTTCTGTTAGGGTAGCGAGGTGTCACATGCTCACATCTGGGCTCATTGTGAACCAGACAGAATGCCCCCCCCCCCCTGCTCTGATTGGCTCAAACTGTGGCTCTGTTTCTCTTTATCAGTTAAAGCAGCATCAGTATCATCTTTAGATTGAATATCTTTAACAAAACCACAACAAAACACTTTCTTCCCCCTCCAAATTTTTACAGATGATGGATATCCGTTGTGGTGACAGAGAGCTTTAATCCATGTAAAGTGTACTTTATATGGGTTGGAGATGGGCTGGAAAAACCTAACTTTTTTAGGAGAAAGTTTGCACTTTTTTTGTTAAAGATGTTCAAAATTCAAGTGTCAAGAAAGAAACTGAGAACCCAGTCATTTCAAAACATTCTGGAAATAACAATTATGAAGCTGAAGTTTTTATTTCCAGATTGTAGCCCCCTTGTGTTTAGCAGTCTGTGGCTGAACACCAAAATTTCTGTCCTAAAATTATTTAAAAATTGTTGTCAAAATTTGTTACAACTGTTCATTTCCAAAAACTCTGAATTTATTTTACTTACAAGTTTGCTTTGAAATCTAATATCTGTGAATCAGTCAGAGATAATCAATTTCCTGTTTTTTTGTTTTGTTTTACTCTGAAGCCACACTGCCATCTACTTCAGCAGCACAGCATTGAGAAGCAATGATGCACAACAATGGAATAAGTTTGTTTAATTCACACTGTATCTAACTAAATCTTAATGGAAACACAAGCCAGGGCTGGAAGAAATGATAAGGATAATAGTCCTATCACGATAACAAATTTTGCTGGGTGATTAATCGTCTCAGAAATTATTGCGATAAACGATAATATTGTTTGAAATTTGACAATAATTAGTCATTATTGTCAAATTTAAGAAGAAATGTTGATATTATTTTGTTTAGTACCTTTTGTGACCTCTGTATGGCAGTACACCATACCCATACCATACCAATTTATTTATAGAGCACTTAAAACAGCAACAAGGCCAACCAAAGTGCTGTACAAAAGAAAAACATGCACAGCGGACAGGAAAACATAAAATAAAAATACAGATACAAATAGCAGCAGAAGCTAACTAAAATGGCCAACAGTGTAGAGTACAGACAGGACCAAACAAATCACAACGTGTTAAAGGCAAGAGAATAGAAGTGGGTCTTCAAGCGAGACTTAAAGACAGAGTGTGGGAGCCTGCCGGACACTCAGTGGCAACTCATTCCACAGTCGTAGACCTGCAACAGAGAAAGCCCCGTCACCTCTAGGCTTACGACGGGTTTCTGGGACTGAGAGAAGCATCTAGTCTGCTGACCTCAGAGAGCGCAGTGGGACATATGGCTGCAGAAGATCAGTGAGATAGGATGGGGCGGAACTGATCAGTGATTTAAAAACATACATGAGAATTTTGAATTGGATCCGAAGGTGAATGGGTAGCCAGTGCAGGGAGGCCAAAACTGGCGTGATGTGCTCTCTATAGCCTGTACCAGTTAAAAATCGGGCTGCAGCATTTTGGACCAGTTGTAGACGTGGAATGGAGGACTGACTGATTCCAAACAGAAGTGAATTGCAGTAATCAAGCCTAGATGTTACGAAGGCGTGGATCACTGTCTCAAGGATCTTTTTGGAGAGTATAGGCTTTAGCTTAGACAGCCGTCTCAGCTGAAAAAAACAGGATTTGACCATCATGTTTACGTGACTGTTGAGTTTTAAGGACGGGTCCATTATCACCCCCAGATTAGTGACCTTTTGTTTCTCTAGCGGGGCTAGAGAGAAAAGGTCAATGTCATGGTTCATGAGTGAGCCACTGGGATGGAACAGCATGACTTCAGACTTCTTCTCATTGAAGCTTAAGAAGTTTAAAGCCATCCAGTCCCGGATGTCAGCCAGGCAGTCAAGAAGAGGCTGAATAGAGCGTGTACCTCTGTGCCTCAGGGGGAAGTAAATTTGGTAATCATCGGCGTAGAAATGAAAGGGTATGTTGTGTTTGCGGAAAATAGCACCTAGTGGCAGCAGGTATAAAGAAAAGAGAAGGGGACCGAGGATGGACCCCTGCGGTACCCCCCACTGGAGCGCTGTCGATGCCGAACTAAAATCTTTGATATTGACACAGAAGGTTCTGTCAGAGAGGTAGGACCCAAACCATTTAAGGGCTGACCCTGTGATGCCCACCCACTGCTCCAGTCTAGAAATGAGGATCTTATGGTCGATGGTGTCAAAAGCAGATGTAAGGTCCAATAGGACAAGCAGCACAGAATCACCTGCGTCTGTGGATATGAAAATGTCATTAAAAACCTCCAGTAGGGCAGTTTCGGTGCTATGGAGAGATTAAGTATTATGAGATTATGGAGAGAGTATAAGACTGTTTGAACCAAAGGATGAATAGTGAGGGAGCAGCGCGTCTCTAAGAAAAATGGGAGGGAGGCTTCTTGACGTGGCATGGGCTGTCTCTCTTTCCTGCTTTTCGGCTCTCAAAATGGAAGACGCTCTGTGTGGTTTGAGCTCTTTAGCATAGCATTTTTTTGCACAAAGCTTTTTATAAATAATCAGTAAACAAGTTCTCAGCTTCCTTTTACATAGAAAAACAACTTTTTACATGAAGGCACAGGTTTCAACTGTGAATTTTGGAGCTTCAACAAGACAGAGGTTTATTGCGACAGGCTTAAAGAATAAAGAAGGAAAAGCCTTCAGAGCAGCTTTTACAAAGTGTAAAACCTAAACTGAAGTGTTAAGAGACCTCATTGAAAGGGTTAGAACCGTAGTAACATCGATGCCCTGATTAGAAAATGTGAAAAAAGCTCTTTGGGAATTTGCTGATCTCCCAATTTGCGTCAGTGCTCTTAAAGATGAAGAAAACCATCTTAAGTGTGAGTCAAAGTAAAATATTTTCCTCATTATTTCATTTTTAAAGCATCGTCTGAACGTAAATCAGCAACAGAAACAGAAAACATTGCAAACCTGGAAAGAAAAAGTGAATTATTTAGCTGTTCTCACCTGGATACTGGCGGATGGTGGAGACAGAGCTGCTGATGGGGGTGTAGGTGTGCGTCAGGGGATATGAGGAGGAGTACGCCGGCAGGAAATACTGAAACTGAACTGGTACAGGGGGCCTGAGGAGATTTAAGATTGAACAAAATACCTTCAGTAGTAAAGGGGATTAACAGTATGTTCTCACTTTTTTTAATCTGACAATGTTTTTGAAATTATTTACTTTCAGTCATAAAATAAAAGACCCACACTACAGTACTTTAAAGTTATCATCATCAACCGTGCATAACATCATCAAAAGATTCAGAGAATCTGGAACAATCGCTGTGCATAAGGGTCAAGGCCGTAAAACTCTACTGGATGTTCGTGATCTCCGGGCCCTTAAACGTCACTGCACCTCAAACAGGAATGCCACTGTCAAG